CCTTCTTTCATTAGTTCAAATTGTCAAAAAAACACAAATTCGTATGGATTGAACATACAGTAAGCGAAAACACAAAGCAACCTTAACCAGCATATCTAACAGTCGGTCATTTAAGATCACAGCGTACGAAGGTGGTGTCAGCAGATAAAAAATGTAAAATTTAATTTCTGATATTTTTTATTCGTGGCTCGCACATCTAGCATGTGTCTCTGCTGACAAAAGTAATAATTACATGTTTTTTCTCCTCGAATATGAATATGTCACTTACGTTTAAAGCAGGTGTCACTACTCTACTGCGGACGGACGGATAAAACGGAGTACATGATATGTTAAAGCAGTTTGGAACAGTTTTGAGTAAGTTATGAATTTTTTATTTTGCGATGCAAATGATAGAAATGAATTATGTCGTCTAGTATAGGATTTTAAAATGTTCTTTGTTAGGTCTAATTAGAAAGAGCCCACTTGATTGTGCTACAAATGATGCTTTGAAGTTCTGAAACAAGTGTCTTGCTAGGAGCAAGAAAGCGAAAATTAGTTTGTATGTTTGTGCTTGAAAGTTTTTGATGTCGTACGTTTTCGATATTCCCACAATAACTTTTTAGTTTAGCTCAATAGTCTATGGTTTTACAGAGAATTGAAAACTGAATCTTTTAAAAAAGGTCCGGACCCTTACTATGAAAACTGAAGGAGATATTTATTCTGGGCCCCCGTTACACCATCATGTAACTGATTTACCATTAAATGAACGATTATATGTGTGTTGTTGGATCAGTTCTTTTGTTCTCAATAACTTTTGGTTGATGCTGATTTTGTTCCATCATGGTTGAAAAGTATGCATCCATTGATAATCTTGATATTGTGCCAACTTTCATATTTTATTGAAGTATCACCGGTGATTTTGACTTGCTATATACTGTGTGAATATGATGCTTATTATAAATCACTTATTCGCTACAAAGTAGCATGTTTCAACTAATTAGAGGCTTGCAAAGTCTTGCTCTTCTGTTTTGTTTTATATGGAAACTTTCACAGCATAAAAATATCGTGTTTTATCTAAAAATTATATGCGGGTCACTCTCATCTACTTTTTGAGGAGGGCACTGGGCTATCTGTCCGTGAAAAGAACCAGAAGATTTGTATTTCAACTTTTTGGGCAACAATCTGGTTTTTCAAAGATTACCTTTCTTGAAAAACCGATTTTTATACGTGTCATGCGCTTTTTTTGCTTTCCTGATCACATGGAATATTTATCAAAAGTTTTTTGTGTACTTTTAAAACGTTATATTTTCTTCTGTATACAGACATGTTGTTGCTCAAATAAAAATCAATCAATTCAATTTTTTGGATGAATAATCAAAAGACTTCTAAAAATTGACAATGAAAACTGAACTACTTTAAAACTTCAAGTTAATAATGCTTTTTCAATTAAATTATATCAATTTACAATAACCAATTAGTTTAATCTAAGCTGAAAAAAATTAATTCAGTTGAAAAAAATTTATGAAACTTAGAACGTTTCTGGAAAATTATGGCCATCGGGATTAAAAATAAGCTGATAAAAAAATTGATCATCAAAGTTGGAAATTAGTAGAATTGTTCTTGACGAACATTCTGCCACAAAACGAAAACAGTTTACACGATCAGCATATGATTTTTTCGTAAAAACTGTAGAGTTGACTTAAAATGTGTACTACCGTTTCGAATACAATAATTGCATCAAACTTTCTATGGTAATATAATACAAGTAACGTTCATCTTTGATTCACTGACTCCCTGGTGCTAATGAACCCAACAGATAGGATGCGAGAAATTCACATCTTCGGCAGAATTATTTATCGATTCCTTGGGTATGGTTGGATAAAGCTCATCGAGGTATCTAGTAAAAGCTAATTTTTATATGTTTAGATGTCATTTTCGTGTGAAAAGTATTGATTTTTTGAAAATAGTCCAAAACAACCAGGATTGTCTTATTTCTACTTTTGAAAGTGCAAAACTACTTTTCTCTACTTCCCCATCAGCAAGTATAAAAAGCTAACCCTGCCATCTCTAGAAACAAATATGTTCTAAAATTTGTAGAAAACGAGTCAGCTACAAAAGCTACGGGTAGAGACAGGACTCAAACCTAACCTTGTTACTAATCCAACCACAGACACACACAACTAACACCAAAAAACTCACATCACCTTCAGATAAAATAACATCCTTCTTTGATTAGTTCAAATTGTCAAAAAAACACAAATTCGTATGGATTGAACATACAGTAAGCGAAAACACAAAGCAACCTTAACCAGTATATCTAACAGTCGGTCATGTAAGATCACAGCGTACTAGATCATATGCTGACCTTGAATAGATTGTAAAAGAATCACATTCAATAGACTGAATCAGACTTGAACTCTACCCGAACAAACGAGTCAGAATACATACACTATTTCGTTCCAAACCGTCCTAAGAAAAACTGACCCAGTTTGCTGTGATTTAGGTCTCTTTCACATTATCTCAAGGAGGAAAATAGAAAGTACTTTTTGGTGATTAGACGAGACATATGATGTGTTTTAGAATGATAAATTAGTTACACTTAATGGTTCGTACGAGATGATACAAATGTAAGCAACATCTTATACCAAATCGCTTCCCTTTTTAAAACTGAAAGCTCGATTGCACAACGTTACAAGATTCTTACAAGAATAGATACAGCGTTCATATTCAGTATTAATCTATTTAATATTTAGGTTTGGGTTATTTCAAAGCGATTATTTCAATTGCACGGACTGTAAGCGCAAATGGTCTAACGAGGGATCGTTCTCACGTGTATAATTCCGATTTCCTTCGTTCATATGCCGATAGATAGGTCATATGGAGGTATGAAAAGACCTAAAAGGATATCGGCCCAATTTGCTTCCTTCAGAAGTTATACGCGTTTTTCTGATTTTCCCAGCGGAAAACCCAAGAAATTGAAAAATTTATAACTCCGTCAAATTTTTGAGTATCCGCTTGAAACTTTTACACAAAATATCTACCCTAATCTAGTATTTACGCTGAAAGTATCAGCCTTCAAGCGTGTTTCATTTCAGAGATATAGAATTTTTCATCTTTTAAGGTATATAGACAGAAAAACAGCTGTCTGTGGTTATTCCTCAAACACACTTTATCTTTTCTTTTTAATTAGCTGATTTTAGTTATGTAAACAAATCTAAGGGTTTTTTTAACACTTAGAATATTCTTAATGTGGAAAAAATAGAAAAACACTAAAGTAGTGATTAGTGCTATCGGCGCCAAAATACAGTGCGGGTGCTTATTTCCGAATTAATGATGATATAGCTGCTGCTAATAAACCCATTCCTTTTTTGGTCAAAGATGATAGAAATGACGTGATCATATTTAGGTTGTTGTTATGAAAGAAAAGTCGTCGGTGTTCCGTTTATATATATATATAGCTGTTCCTCTTTCTCTCGCGTGAACTATCATCTTTTACGTCAAGCTGGTTTCTCTATTTTGTTCTTATGGCATGTGTGTGTATATAGAAGTATATAGTCCTTTCTAGTAAAACAAACAAAATAAGACAACGTTTTTTTTTCAGTCTAAACTTGACATTAATCTTCTTGTTATATAGTATTCTTGCAGAATTCTATATGTAGTATCATAGTTCGTATTTCTTTTAAACGAACTATACTTTAATCAAACAGTGACAAGTAAATTAAATTCCAAATTTTTTAACTGTGTATCACATTTTTGTTTTAGGCATAATAGCATTTCAGTTCTGAATTTCTATAAAGCCTAGTTGGCCTATTTGGCCTATTGCTTAGAAAAGCAGATGCACACACTTTGTTTTAAAAATGGTATTTTGCTTGACTCTGATGAAACGAGTTTTTGTTTCCTCACAAAGATTCGAAAGAAAGCGAACCACGCTACTCTACATCAAAGTCCTATTAGAAACTGAGTTGATTCTCGTTTTTTGCAGTTTATATTTAGAGAGTGAGCAACAAAAGAAAACGATTATAATTTAATATTAGCCTTCTAGTGAGTCCTTTGTTTAGCGTACCAAATCTTCTTTTAACTTTTGACTCTGACTCTTCGTTTCTATGGTTTAAAGATTTCATGTATAAAATCAAAGAATCCAGCTTGTACGGGCGCTACATGGTAGCGGCCAAACACTGGACGAAAGGCGAAGTCATTTTTAGTGAAGCACCATGTTTAAAATGGGAAAGCGAAACAAAGAACGATTGGAGTAAATTGATGCCGTTTTGTTGTTAACCAAAGATATACGTGATAATTTGTTTAATGAATTCTACTGTCCTAGTCAATATCACATAGAATCCAAAAGAAATGCCAAAAAAGTCGTACAACAATTAATCGAAGAAAACAAAATTAAAATGGATAATGAACAAGAAACAAATTTATTAGTTAAGATTGTATCCATTATACAAGTCAATGCTCATTCTATTACAAAGCGTATACAGGGATTATTTCCTATTGCTTCAAAAATGATTCATTCTTGTTCTCTAAATGTATGTTATACGTCGAAATATGAGAATAATGAATTGATACTAGTGTTTCGTGCTCAAAAAGATATCAAAGCTGGTGATTCATTAGCATCCAATTATTTATCTCCACTAGAAGCAGTTACATCTACAGCACATCGTCGTCTGTTGTTAAAAGATAATTATTATTTTTTTTGTACATGTGAACGCTGTACGGTTGGTGGCGAAACTGAAATTAATCCACACGATGAAATGGAATTAAGTAAAGAAATTGATAATACAACAATATCAGACAATGTTCTTGCCACAGCAACAACATACGAAAACTATTTATTGAAAGTTAAAAATAAATTTGGTAATTAATGGAAAGTTTTTAACCTGAATCAGAGTTGAAAATGATCGAGTGTTGTCTGATCTTGAGGTTCTACGATCTCTTCGTTTACTAATGGATTTACCCTAGAACAGAGCTGACAACAGAAAGAAAAGAAACACAGTGGAGCTAATGGCTGAATGACAGCTATCATCGGCTTGTCAGTGGTGTTAGTCCATTTGGTAGCTTATTTCTACTCGTTAAAGTTGTCCAATTTCTTTTCATCTATTTTTTGTGTCTGTTATAGGAGAAAAAAACTGGTTATATTTTAAAACACTTAATTTGCTTGTTACATTCTATGACACGGTTGAAAATGGTGAAAGCTTGTGTTGAACTAAGTTTATTAATTATGGAGTGGTTACAAACGTATATATTTGAATATGATGAGAGTGTTTATGAGAATCTCGTTGATAAACAATTTAAGGAGTATTTGGTTAAATATAAAAATGCTATGACTCAAGAACAATGGTGTAAAGCAATTGAATATAAACAACAAGACTAAGGAGTGAAATGGTACGTTCTTTTTCCATAGCTTTCACAGTAGGTTTTCTCGAGGCTGTGTTCCAAAAGTGCCGTAGTTTTCAAAAGATTGCTTTTTATTGGCTTTTACGTGGAGAAATTTAACAATAGTAGAATGAATTTCAAAATAGTAGAATGCATTTTCATAAACGTTATCTTTGCATCCTTCTTCGAAAGAAGCCTAGTTAAACTCAACTTTATATTCATATTTAAAGTTGATCAAAATTGGGTGTTTCTTAGAAGGTTCCTTACTGTTCACTTCGAGATTCATCATGTGCGACGCGACGCTGCAATTGTGAGGGTACGCATTGTTAAGCAAGACGTCATTCCACCTTCCCGTCCTAAACACCTGAAGTTGCATTCGAACTCCGCTGTAATTGCCATTATCGGAATTAAAACTGTGGCTATTTGCGCTGTTCTCACGAGGGAACCTATCCAAGTGATACCTTCTGATTTCATTCGTTCACGCCAATCGATAGAGGATAGTGAGCTAGTAAAAAGCCTAAAAGGATTCTTCCTTGACTCCTGAAGACCCGGTTTTCTGGAAAACTAGTTTTTCAGAAACGAAAAAATAATCAAAACCTTTTCGTAATGAGGCATAATTGTAGCCCGCGCATTTCTGATTAAAATGAGACGTCCACCAGCTCTACATGACCTTTCTTTGCAAAGTTATAGAATTTACAAGAAAAGCCCTACATGTTCATTGTCAGCTCAAAGCTACAGGAATAATAAGAAATTCATTTAGGGCTTTTCTTGTAAATTCTATAACTTTGCAAAAAAAATGTCATGTAGAGCTGGGGGACGTCTCATTCTAATCAAAAATACGCGGGCTAGAATTATGCCTCATTAAGAAAAGGTTTTGGTTACTTTTTTAGAGTTTCTGAAAAACTAGTTTTTCAGAAAACCGGGTCTTCAGGAGTCAAGGAAGAATCCTTTTAGGCTTTTTACTAGCTCACTATCCTCTATCGATTGACGTATGAACGAATGAAATCAGAAGGTATCACTTGGATAGGTTCCCTCGTCAGTCGCTTTTACAGGGGAAACATTATCAGTGTTAACATTATGTGTAAATTCTTCGCTGCAATATCTTTCTTTTGCTCTCTTTTTTAGCTTGGAAATAAGAAATTTGTCATAAAAGACTTTACAATTGTTCATTGCATTCGCATTTTGGACAATACACTTCGTATGCAATCACAGTTTTTGGTGGAACGTTCTTTCTATTCAAACCACATTTTTGGTGGTCTGTCAGTTGTTTACAAACGACAAAGAAGGACATTTTTCTTTTTTTATTTGTTTTATCGGCGGCAGATGATATGCTGTAATGTTGTAAGTGAATATTATTTTTGTGTATTTCCAAAGGATTGTGATATGCTACTTTACCTGATAATTTTTACAAGAAATATATACAAGGCGAGAAATCGACAATAAGTGAAGTAAAATTCAGCTACAAAATTTACTTGTAAATAGAATACAAACTTGTTGAGACATTTAAAAAGGAAACAAACAACCTTAGCGCAGGGGCGCCGGAACGGTTTGGAAGCTGTGGGGGCGGATCCTTTTTCCTGTAAAGTCAACGAAAACTATCAGACTATTTCTTACATCATTTCGATCCCATGCCTCTAGAGCTGTGGGAATGGCCTCCAAAGCTGTGGGGGCGACGCCTCCACTGCCCCCATGGTTCCGCCGCCTCTGCCTTAGCGGATACACAAGACTTAAGTAGTGGAAAACTGAAAAAGTAATTTGATAGATGACTGGGAAAAAAGACGAGTGTACCAAAAGTAGCTCACTTTGTCAAGTATCTACCGTCACTTGGCAAGTTAATGATCAAGCACGTATCGACTTGTTTTGTCAATTAAAGTACCTGGTCGAATCAAGCTGTTTTGTTGTGTGTTAACCACTTGTATATGAGTGAATTGCATGACCGTTGTACCGTTTGGATGGAAAAAATCGAGAATAATGAAAATCTTCAAATTCAGGATATGAGTTCACCATTAGAAAGAGCATACTCGATTACCTATATTCCCTAAGTTTCCCTACTGTCAAGGTCAAAATAGTCTAAATATGCGACTGTTATGATATTTCCAGCATATTTCTTAGATACTCAAGGTAGTTATTTTTTTTCTGGAAATCTGAACCAAATAATTTTGAGTTACGGCAGTAGGGATTAATTTATAAATTATTGAGTATAAAACTGCCACGAAGAACATGATAGATTTAAGCAAAAATCATAATTTTATTCGAGCTTTCGATAAGAATCTCTTATCATCATCAGGAATATAGAAAAGTGAGGTTACA